GCAGCAGGCAAGATTTCAGTCAAGCCCAGGAATTTCTTGACAACCATGTTAATAGAACACTGGAACTGGTCAGTGGGATCGTGCCCTTCCCTGAAAAATGCTTTAATGAACTGAAGGTTTCAAGTCAAGGACATTCACCTGCCTGAAGGCAGGGGTGACCACATCTCTCTGGACTCTTCTGTTCTGGGGTTCTGTACTCCCAAAGATAGAGTCAAGCTTTCCTGTTTCTTTAATTCCCAGAATGACATGCTCCCGGGAAGTAGCACTGAATGCTGCTAGGTGACCACTTGATCTATGTCCCCACTGATAAGTACGATTATATATCTACCCGGAAGACAAGAGCTTAGCACAGCAGCAAAGCCAAAAATCAATTCTCTAGCAGCAACACATGGATCCAAGAGACCTTTCACAACACAGGTCATAACTAAATGAGGAAAACAGAAAATGCCCCGGCAGCCTGTGCAAATGAGAAAGTATTTGCATTGACAAAGATGTAAAGTTTAAGTAATAAAAGAGAAAGATAGATTCTTCAGAAATTAAGAGATGGTAATATCGAAGATATTTCTAAGGAAATCTGTAATGAGTACTTTTGACACTCAGAAGTACTTTTAGTTTTTAGTCCAAATAAAGAAACTATTTTAAGAGAAAACAGAAGCAGGGCCTTTCCTTTAGACCTTAAAAAACCTAAACACAGAAGAACTGCCACTAAAACAAAAACAACAAGAAAAAAGTTTGCTCTAGGCTCAGACCTACCCCCCAGAGAGTCGAAATAGATCTTGACTTTCACCTCCCATAATCTGAACTCCTTGAGGACAAGGGCCAAGTCTTTGTCCTTTCTCCAAGCACAGATCTGCCACGGGCTAAGCACACAGCAGATCCTATGTAAATGTTTGCTGAAGGAACACATAAAAGATGTGGCCTGGTGTGCAGAGGAGAACAGTGGCCCAGTGGCCTATGTGAGTAGAGGGTGCAGAAAGTGCCCAGCACAATGCACAGTCCAAATCATAATTAACAGCATTGACCCCAAGCATCTCAGTTTCTCTTAGAGACAAAATAAAGATCTTCCTGTCCTCCAGGTTTTTAGTTTCCTGAATTTTTCCCTCCAACAGGCTATTGCCATATGAAATGGAACTTACAAGTTTGGGCCTTTCAAGTTCACACCCTAGTCTGCTGGAATTATTCTGAATCCCGTCTTTGATAGCAACCTCAAGTGCTTCAATTGTCATTATAGCCTACCAGAAAGCACTGGAAAATTACGTGTTCAGAGAACAATAAAAAATGCTCACATATCCTACCCTCTTGATCATTACTACTTTGTTCCACGCAAACCTCAAAAGTGGTTCCCCAAGATCTTTATGGGAAGAAGGAAGAGAGAAATGAAGGAACATAAAACATAAAAAAATGAAGACTATGAGAAGCTATAACCTGCATAATGCACCCCATTTTTTTTCTAGGAAACTAATGTTTAATGCATGATGAGGCAGATCCTGCCTGGGGATGGGGTGCAGAGGATCCCCTCCAAGGAGGCTCTGGAGGTTCTTGGCCTGTGGCCTTGTTTCAGCACCAATCCTGGCTATAGGAAAAAGCTTGCCTCTCCTATTTGGAGGTACTTCCTCAGAGGCACAAATGCAGCCCCTGAAACTCTGTTCTTGCATTGTTTGCACATGTTTAAAGTAGCTAGAAAGTGCTACCATAGAAAAGAAGCTCTCTAGGGCCGGGGATTTAGCTCAGCGGCACAAGCGCCTGCCTTGCAAGCAGGCAGTCGTGAGTTCGATCCCTGGTAGTGATAAAAAGGAAAAAGACCAAAAAAAAAAAAAAAAAAAAAAGAAAGAAAAGAAAAGAAGCTCTAGAGCCAGGGGTTTAGCTCAGTGGCGTAGGCATCTTCCTGGCAAGCACCAGGTCATGAGTTTAATCCCTGGTACCAAAAAAAAAAAAAAAACCACTCTACCAGAAACCAGCAGAAGCTCAATAAAGGGAATAAAGGTCATAGAGGGGTTAAAAAAAGTTTGTCTTTTTTTTTTTTTCCTGTGGCTATAGGAGGTTTATTGTTGCTGGTTCCCAAACTGAAAAAGGAATAGCCAGAGATTAATAATTGAAATGTTGCTATTATTGGTTTTCTATTAAATTATATGTGGGTTATTCTTTCCCTGGGGTCATCATCCCTGTAAGCAGCTCAGAAGATAGAGGGATTTAACACACACCGGGAAAATGCCTGCTATAGCTGGGACTTTACTAAATATACTAGTTTCTAGTGGAGTCCTCACACAATTCAAGAAAGCTGGGGGGAAAAAAAACCCAGCTCTGAATAGTTAAATAACATGCCTAAGACATGCAGCTAGATTCAGATTCAGATTCCAGTTTCTCTGATTCAAGTGCCATACCAACTGTCCAGAGTCACAGCTAAAATTAATGAACTTTGATTCGCTACTCATATGTAATGAACAGGAAAACAATATTTATACTTACTCATTTTAAAAATATAAAACATAAACACAGGAAAAGATATTTATGAGATATGTGTCTTTAAATTCTTTAAAGGGAAGATGATTCACAATCTCATTTGGTCAAAAGGTATCTTTCAATCCATCTCATGATGGATTTCAGGGTACAAGTTTCTAGAAGCCTCACTATGAAGTGCTCCTTGATAGGAGCTGACACTAATAAACAAACTGCAGCTCAGGTGCAGTGAGGCACAATTCACTTGGAATTTAAGTCCCTCAAATTCAAACCCACAGCAATTCAAACCTTTGTGGTTGGCCTTTGCACTACATAGTGAAAAGGCCCTGCTAAGCAAGTTGATGGGAGTAAACACAATCACAAGGCAAATGTTTAACCTTCCAAAAAAAATAAACCTTTTTTAAAAAGGTTAACTTGATCAATACCAAGCCACTGAAAACTATTGTACTATTTATAAACCCAGCCTTATTAAAGCAAATGCTGGAAAAGTGATTATACTTTGCTGCCCATCAAATCGTATTATACCTTGTTTCAAAAACAGCATTCTTATCTAAGTCTTTGGCAGTTCTGAATGTTCCCCTAATGCATGCAGGCCTTCACTCAGTATTCTAACTCCATTGAAGCAGTTCCAGCCAAAGGCCACACATGTCATTATACTTCTTAGAAGAATCACCTTCAGGGCTGGGGGTTTAGCTCAGCGGCATAAGCGCCTGCCTTGAAAGCAGGCAGTCCTGAGTTTGATCCCTGGTACCGATAAAAAGGAAAAAGACAAAAAAAAAAAAAAAAAAAAAAGAAGAATCACCTTCAATTTTAGGAGCTAAAAAATTGCAAGAAATCCCTCTTCCAGGAAACTCCACAGAAAAAGCCCCGCACATTTAAGAGACACATAAGGAGTCCATGTGTCCCGATTAGGGTATGGTAAATACCATTTTCACTGAAACCAGTGGAGGTTCCCAAGGAGGGAAGGAGGCCTGTGGAGTCTTAGAAGCAGTCACCACTGTGCGGGTACGTGGGTTGCAGCAGCATGATCCCTGGTCATGGAGACTGTATCCAACAGTCTCTTGGAAAGACCCGGCAGAGCTTTTGGCTGAGTGACACGGCTCATTCGGGAGAGCTAGAGTGCCCACTTTGGCAGAACATACACTAAAATTGAGAAGAAGTGGGAGGAAGACTAGCAAAAGAATTATAAAGACACTGAGAAACTCTTGTAGAATAAAAGGTTACCAAACACAGGAACAATCAAGAAAGTACACAAACAAGATTGAGGGAAACCCAAGGTTGAAAAAGTGACCAGGCGGATCACCTGTGACAGGAAGGCAGGCTGTCAAGGAAAACCTGTGAGCTGAGACCTTTGAAATCATGATTATTCTTAAACCATAACACCTTACACACCTACAGCTCTTTATCTGATATGAGGCACAGAAACAGCTATGTAATAAAAATGGGAGTGCTGGGTCTCAGGCCCTGGGGATGGACAACACTGCATGGATTTAAAATGAATGAACATATGAGCCATGCAGTTCCCAAGATAGCTTTGCACAAAGTTGACAAAATACATCCCAACCCACATACCCAGTCCACTGTAAGAGGGAGAGAAATCAGCAGTCAATAGTTCTAAATTCAATGCCAAGTTCCTGGCTCACCCAGAGTGTCCAGCAGAGGGAGTCTCAAAGAGGTACGTACTTAATAAAGAGAAAACTGTTTCATTTTAACACTCTAGACAGTGGGAGCTTTGACTGCAGCCCCCTCCCCTAGACAGATGAACAATGCATGCCCAACATGGGCTCCCCTGCATATCCCTATATCCACCAGCATGTTCTCTTCTGCGTGGTGGACTGATCTGAAATTTTGTTTTGCTTTGTCTAATGGTTAAATGGACCTTGTGTTCTTCAGAATCAAAGAGGAAAGCCCCTGGAATAACATCTCTCTGTTGCCTTCTAAACAGCCTCTTTGTTTCTAAGAGAGTCTGAAAAAAAAAATATTTACAGTCGATAGGTTATTTACAGCCTCGATATCCAAGGCCTGACTGGTAACTCTATTCCATCCAGAAACCTAATTCATTTGGAACCCTGGAACTAATAACAGATTTTCTTTTCAGATAAGTTTTTATTCTTTTTGTTAAATCAGCTTTTCCAAACAGAGATAAAACTATTAATGTGATCTCTGTCTTACCCCCTACTTCTCCAGATTTATAGGATTACAATGTCTTTTGCCCCTCCTCTAGGCTCTATGCAAACCCTTTCCCCTCTCATTTGCGATTTAATCCACAGACTATCTGAACAAAACCGAAAGAAAGCCAGATGGACCCTCACTAAAAGTCTGGAAAGGGTGCTATTTCAATGATTTCATGAAGCGAGACATTTTCAGGATGAAACGACTGGAAAATCAGGCACACTTTGGTTGAAAATCTCTCGTACTACAAGTACAAAAAAAAAAATCGAAGTGTAAAAACTTAGTTGATTCGGCTTTGATTTTTGAAGGAAGCTCTACGGAACTGACTAAACGAAAGAGTGTGCAAGGCAAATGTAGTCCTTTTGCCTTACCTTCTTTTCTTTCTTCCCGAAGACAGTCAAATCGGAAAAAATCAGCCAGGTGAAGAAGGTGCACAATACCGATCTACCCAGACCCATCCAGAAAAACCGTCTCCACCGCCTCTGACTTGAATGCCCAAACTACCTTCTCCCTTCCGCACGCTAATGCGGGGAGATTTTAGCCTATTTCATTGTTCTGCCTGGGTCTGAAATGGACTTTTCATCTCTATCCCCTCTCTCCGCCTGGCCCCATACAATCCAATTCCACAGGGCCCCCCCCACCCCCAGGCTCGCGAAGAATAAAGGAGCGTGGGGTGGGAGTGGAAGGCAATGGAAAGGGGAAGAGAGAGGAGGGCAGAGAAGTAGAAAGGAGATGTGAGCCTAAAGGTAATGGGGGTGCTAAAAGCATCACCTCCACCGCTCCCACACGGAGGCCAGGCGGTGCCTTCCCGGCGCCCCCTCCCGCCCTCCTCGGCCGCGGGCGCCCGGCACACCCCCCGCCCCGCCCCCACCCGGAGCGCCAGCCCCGAGCCGGATGCGCAGCCCGGCAGGGTCGCGGCCCCCACCCGCGCTAACAAAGCTGGGGCCGGGCGGCGCTTACCTTCGCACACGCGGGCCGTCGGGGCCGGGGTGTCCGCGGCTCATGGCAACCGGCGCGGGAACGCGGCGCGCGAGCTCGGCCCCCCCCGCCTCAGGCGGCTTCTGCCATCTTGAGCCTGTGTCTCCGCTCGCGGCGCCGCCGAGGCCGCCCGCGCCCGCATCACCGCCTCGCTCGGCCGGCGCCGGGGGAGGGGGCCGGGCGCGTCGCCGTCGCCGTCGCCGTTGCCGTGGCCGCCGCGGACCGGGCCCTGCCTGCGAGCGCCTGGGCCGAGGGCCGGGTCCGCGGAAGGCGGGAGCCGGGGCGGGCAGCGCGCGGCCAGGGCCCGGCCGGAGCTCAGCTCAGCATGGCTGTGTGTGGGGGCTCCGCAAAAGTTGCTCGGGAGGAGGGGGGAAGGGAGGGAGGAGCGGGAGGAGGCCGCGGGAGGGGGCGGGGCGGGGAGCGCGGCGGCGGAGGGGCGGGCGCGGGCGGGCGCGGGGCGCGCGGAGAGCCGAGCCGGGAAGAGCCCAGGAGCCCGCGCGCAATCGAGCGCCGATGGCACGGATGCGAGGCGGGGAAGGCCGAGCGCGGGGCACAGCGGGCGCAGGCAGCAGGGCCCGGGCGGACTCCAGCGCGCCCAGCCGCGGGCGTGCGTGGGCTCGGCGAACACAGGAGAGCCGCCAGCGCGGGAAACAAGCGGAACTTTGTGTGCGTGTGTGTAGGCCACGCGTGGGATGCGTGTGAGTGTGCATGCATGGGTGTGCGTTTGTGTAAGGTGCATGGGTGCACCACGTGGGGGGGTGTGAGCGCGTAGGGTACGTGAGGAGGGAATCGCGCGTGTGGGGTCGCGGAGTGTGATCGACTGCTGACAGCGACTGACGGAAGTGCCTCACCCGCCGTGCTCTCTGAGACCCCAGAGGATGAATGGAGGACCCGTGGGTGCAAGACTTATTGCAAACCCATGCGCCATCAGAGATGCCAAAGTAGATCTGTAGAGCCTGGGCTCCACTCCAACCTGCTTTCAGCGACTGGCTACCTCCTCCTCCTCTCTGTAGCTGTATGGTCCGGGGGATGGGAGGTGTCCCCCCTCCACCACCTAGGTGGGAGGTTCCCGCCGCGTGGGTCCTGTTCCCCCAGCTCTCTGGGATCTGAACTATGTCTACACCTTTCTCTGGAGTGTTTGCTCAGGACTCCTTGTCACCCTCCTGTTTAAGACTTATTGGATCCTTTTAGGCAGTATTCTTAAAACTCTGGCTTGTGATACCTGACTAGATCATAAAATGAAGTTAGTGAATGACAACCAGCTTTTTAAAAGAAATAGAAGCCAATGAAAATATCAGTGCCCGTTGCCCTAGGTAAAGACAACTAGTGTTTCACAAACTTTGCTTCAGTTACATATTCTAGACAATCATGGAGGACTGCTGATTTCAGTCAAAAAGTTTAAAAGCTATTATTATGGGACGTGTAATAGTGATCATTAACACTGTACTGTTTTCTTAAAAACAAACCCATTAGTTTCTCACTGCTTCTTATCCTTTTCAAACTCTATCCCGTGCCCAGTCCATCACCCCCGAAGGCAAGCTGTTGCATCACTTTTACAGTTTTCTGAGTGACTTACCATTCATCCCCTTGCCTTAGGCTGGTCTTTGGCTGTTATTAGTCTGAACACCTCCACCTGTATCCAATGCTACACCTCCCAGTAATTCTCTCAGCCTAAGTCATTTGCATTTGCAGAATCTAGACAACCGTCGTTCAGAGATGATCAGGGCCGATCATATCCTTTTAGAGTTGCACAAGTGAGACTCAGAGTAGTCAAGTTTATTGCCCAGTGCCACACAGTATTGAGTCTTAGGCTGTCTGGCTGGTATTCTTTGGTTTATAGCATTCATTTGGCCTCCTCCTTTCTATCCACCCTGCAGTCCTAACCAGTTTCCCAAGTTTTAATCTTGGCCAGTTCATGCTAAGCGCTACCCTCTTCATAATGCTGGTTTTCATCAGGCCATGCCCGTGCCTCTGTCCTTTAGGACTCAACCTCTACACACAGGGCTTAGTTGCCAACTCCTTGGCTTTTAATCAAGGCAGGCAAGTTCCAACTTAGCTCTCGGAGGACAGGAGTTCAGCAAGTCACTGCCTCTCCAGCCAGACTGGTTTATTCGTGGTCCTTTGCCAGCCTTGCCCACCTGTGCCTTTGTGCATTTGCCCAAATTGTCAATTTCCCACCAGAGGTACCTTCTATGTCTTCTCTTTTCAGTTTCTACTTGTGCTTGGCTCATTTCATCACAGCCTGAGAATAGCATTGTAGTAGGTCACACCTGGGTTCACAACCCAGTTGAAACAGTTCTGCTGAGTGTGAACTTTGTCCAGTTGCTAACCCCAACTTCTGCATCTTGATTGTAGTGAGGAGAGTAATGATAGTGATATTCTTTCATGCCTATTAACCTCTACTGTAGCCTTTACAGTACAGGTATGCACTGGCTTGTTCTTCCGCCCTTTTCCAGTGCTGGCCAATAGACCTTTTTGCAATGGTGTCAATCCACATCCAATATGGCTTCTTAGACACTGAGGTCTGTCTCCCTGCCCAGTGGCTAGTGGCTGTCCACTGAGCAGTGTGTAGAGCTCTTGTAAGTTGCTAAGTGTTGAAAACAGACATCATGCTTGGCGTTGTATTTCCAGCAACGTGGCCAACACATGGCGAATATGACACAAATATTTCTTAGTGATAGTTGCGATTTATTGCACATCTGCTTGTGAGAAGTACACTAGGAGCTTGGTAAAAGCCCTTCAGTGTAGTTCACACAACTCCTGAGGTCAGATGTGCTTACATACAGTGTGTGGGTTTCAAGAAAAGTCAGTTACTAGTCTGAACGTCTCCCCTGGCACCAGTCTTGCTAATATTTATCCCTTCTTCCACTGGGCTTACCAAGCATTTCCTGCCTGTCACACACACTGTTGTCCCATGTCATGTGTCATCCTAGCAGGCTGATGTTCCTCTTCAGGGTAGGTATCCTGTCCCTTCAACCAGCCTGGTAGCCACTTCAGGCAAGGTCTTTGGCATGCTGTCTTGGCTATCCCCCGAGTAGGCGCTGATTAGTAGTTAGTAATAACCTCTAACTCTGTCACAGTTGCTGTGTAACTATGAGTAATTCTACACAAAAGGTGCATTAATATGAGGATCACTCATGTCAACGGAAAACATGTCGAGTATAATCTTCCCATGGGAAGGGAGCTAAATGAAACAAGGAGATGGAGTCCTTTAAAGGGGAACAAGATGAAGCCACCAGAAGATGTCAACCTCCTCTCTGGGCCACCAGGACTAAAGCTGTTCCAAGTAGTGCAAAGCTTCTCTGCAGAGGTCAGCTCACTTGGTATCCTTCAGTTGGAAAATAAGGAAGTAAGCTTGGATTTTTCTTTCATGTATGGACAGACTGATGATAGCTAAATGTGTCCTTTCCTTGTGGTGACTACAAGGCACAGACTACACAGTGAAATGCCACTGCAGGATAATGTGAGAGCAGGAAAGGGAGCTGACCAGAGACAGCCTGGAGAAGCAGCAGTATTTTGAGGTGAGAAAGATGAAAAAGAACTCTGCACAGACAAGGAGGCAGACAAGCAGCAGCACCACCAGACAAGATAAGACCTCAAACTCAGAGCAAACCTTTGTAAAAGGAGCAGGAATCCTAGGGCTGCCTGCCTGAGAGGTCCCAGGAGCTGAAAGTGGAAAAGAATCTCCTGGGTTTGGCAACAAGAGTTACGTCAGTAACCTGTGAGACTAATACTGGAGAGGAGAGGGGATATAGGGTCCATACATTCCACTGAAAGCCTGAGCAGTGTTTGGATAGGTGGAAGTGTGAATAGAATGGGGAGGTTCAGCCAGGCACCAGGAGAGGGTACTAGAGAGCATCCCAGTAAAGCAGTGTGGCCAAGGTCATGGCTGAGACAAGAGAAGGGTACAGGAGCTGCTAGCCCATTTGGCTAGAGATAGGATGGTCAGAACTGTACTTTATTTAATAAATATATCAGTGCTTAGTGCTCTAGGAAGTATGCAAATATTAACTCATTTAATAAGGGTTTTTTTCAGCTCATAGACCTCTGGTTTGCTCAACTACCATTTAACTTCAGGATGCTTTGAAAAACAAGAGCAAAGGCAAGAAAACCAAAAGGGAGGGGCTGGGGATTTAGCTCAGCGGCATAAGTGCCTACCTTGTAAGCAGGCAGTTGTGAGTTCAATCCCGGATACCAATAAAAAAGGAATAAGACAAAAAAAAAAAATCAAAAGGGAGTTAGTAACCATCTGTGCCAGTTGCCTCTTCTTAACTTGCCTTTCTATGAAAGGGTGCAAGCCATAGCTCACGTGACAAACAAGCAAAGGTCTTTTCTATATTTTCCAATATTTCCAAATGGGGCTATTACTCTTTTGGGGGCATATGTTTAGAAATGTATGCTTCCTTATTATTCTCAGGGTACACACAGTCTGATGTTGGTGTAGGCTGTGTCTCATTGTGACTTGGTGTGTTTGTGTTGCTCTCATTTCCTGACAGGTCCTAATTTCTGTATCTGAGACTGTAGTCTGTTGCTTGGGGATATGCCCAGAAGAGGCAGCTAACTGATTTGGGGACCATCTTTCAAAATCACACCTCTTTCTCTCTCTCTTGATCTCTTGCTATGTCTTTGTGTTCTTCTGTCTTTCTGACAGCTTTCCTGTCTCATTTTCTTTCTCTCTTTCCATTCTTTCCATCTTTCCTTCACATTCTTTATTTTGTCCTTCTTTTTTCTCTAAAGATTTTCTTTTTTTTTTTTTTTTTTTTTTGGTACCAGGGATCGAACTCACAACCTCATGCTTGCCAGGCAGGTACTTAGGCCACTGAGCTAAATCCCCAGCCCAAGGTTTTGTTTCTTAACAAGTGGTAATACACACTTTTGTTTTGATTATTCTTAACAAATTATGTTGCATTTCTGTTTTGAACCTTTGACCAGTTTCAATGATACATTTTGTAATAGAGTGGTGTTTAATAATGGCAAGGTTCCTAAAGCAAATGCCTGGGACAAAACAGTGCACTCAGAGGGAACGTGAAAGAAGAGATACTGTGTACAAAGTAAGCACAATAAGAGCTAGGGCTTTAGGGCAAAGGGTAGGATAAGGCTTGGCAGGGTGCAGGGACTCTGTGGAACAGAAACAATAGGCTTTTAAAAAAATATTGTTTTTTGCCTTTTTGAGATAGGGCCTCGGTATGTAGTTCAGGTGGCCTCGAGCTCACTTTGTTGCCCAGGCTTGTCTCGAACTTGCAACAATCTGCCTGCCTCAGCTTCCCAAGTGCTGGGATTACAGGAGTATACCACCATGCCCTGCAAAACAATAGGCTTAAAACAAAAACAAACAAACAAAAAAAAAAAACCCCAAGCTGGGCGTGGTGGCTCATGCCTGTAATCCCAGCACTGGGGAGGCTGAGGTGGGAGGATGATTGCTAGTATGAGACCAGCCTGGGCTACAAAGTGAGCTCAAGGCCAGCCTGAACTGCATAGCCAGACCCATCTCAAAAAAGACAAAACAAAACAATAGGCTTAGAGAGACAATGCTGACAAAATCCAGGGGGGCAAGGAATACCCCTCATTTGGCTGCTTCTGCTCCTTGAAGAAAATGATCAGACATGAGGCAGGGTACAGGTTAGGCAAAGCTCTGCCCTAAACAACACCAGGCAGAAGGGAGTTGTGATGCAACCAGCCTGTGAATGAAAAAGAAACCTCATTGCAGGTGCAAGCGAGGCAAGGTGATTAGGTTGGAGGTTGTGGAAATGACAGATTAGGATTGATTTGCACATGAGACACAGTTAGGAAAAGCAACCAAGCCTTGCAGAAGGATTTCTGGGATGATGAGGGAGAAAAGGGAGCAACTTGGTTTGTGTGACCAGCAGATCAGACTGGCCTTGGACAAACTAGGCAGAAATGGTACCCAGAGAAATTGGGAGAAGGAAGGGTGAAGGCAGGAAAAACTAAGCACTGTTAAACCAAGTTGAGTCTGGCTTCATGATTTATCAGTGGACCTGTACACTGCTGCGCTGGGTAAAGTTTGCATTGTCAGGTTGTGTCCTGTGGACAGGACAGAGCTTGCCCCTGTGTGGCAAACCAGCAGAGAAATTGACCCACATGACAGAGAGCTTTCCACATGGAGGTTGCCAATGACCTCTGAGATGCAAAATCCAGGCTTTTTCTCAGCTCCTCGCTTGCTTGATAGATAAGCAAACATTAGTTAGACACTGTTCAATGCTTCCTAGAAGCTGGGAGTCTAAAAGAATAAGGCAGAGCCCCAGCTTTCAAGGAAAGCTCAAAGGAAAACCAGCCGTTCAAGAGCACCATACAGCAAGGTGAGTGCTGGGATCAAAATGTAATTTTCAGGCAGAAGTGGACACTGTGCTGTGCCATTACAAAAGGGTGGCACAGAAGGACATGTGGCAAGGAGCTTGTTTGGGACCTGGGAAGATGGCATATCTGTGCCCAGCTCTGAGTACGGGCAGTAAACAGAATAGAAAGGTGTTTGTGTCCAGGGTCTGGGAGACGTCTGAGTACTGCTAAACAAGAAAAGCGAGTAAGGCAGTTAATGAGAAGGACGCTGGAGATGGTGCCAGGTGGAGAAACTTTATTCTATACGCAGCAGGTGTGGGGAGAAAATGAGTTCGATTTGGAACATGTTGAGTTTACGGTTCTTAGGAGATACTCAGATAGGGAGGCTTGGTTGCCAGGTGGGTGTTTGAGGCTGGAGCTCAGCCAGGAGTTTTTAATGGTAATAGAGATTGTTTGAAGGCATCAGTATATAATAGTTGCTGATCCATAGGAAGAGGTGACAGTACATCAGGAGTTGTGACACGGTGGTATTTCTCAAAGTGTGGGCCACCTACATCAAAATCCCACAGGGGCTGTCTGAAAATGCCGAGTCCTCGGCTGAAGCACCAGTCCACAGAGTCAAGGATCTCTGGGAGGGTTGCCTGGGAATCTGGGTCTAAGATTACTTAAACTTTAGACTACTTCATTCATAGAAATTAGGTGTTCATTTTCAGCAAAAGAAGAACTATAGGTGTTTAAATAAGGTTTACTGAGTCAGTAAGAGTGGACATTTCCAACTGTCTTTTTTTTTTTTAAATCTTTGATTGAACTCATGACCTTATGCTTGCCAGGCCCAAATAGTCTTTTAAGAGTTGTAAAACTAGGGGGCTGGGGATTTAGCTCAGTGGCATAAGCACCTGCCTTGCAAGCAGGCGGTCATGAGTTCGATCCCCGGTACCGATAAAAATAAAAAATAAAAAAAGAGTTGTAAAACTATAACAAATTAAGTGAGGGAATGCAAAGAAGAAGTTGGTATTGGGATACCTGTTTACATTTTAGCTAAAGTTCACAGTTAAACAAGGTGCAGTGGTGTATTCTGCTATCACAACTCCTCAGGAAGCTGAAGCAAAAGAATTGCAAGATTGAGATGAGCCTAAGCAACTTAGCCAAACCATGTCTCAGGGCAAAAATTAAAAAGGATTCAGGCTGCAGCAAGGAGTAGAACACTTGCCTCGCAGGCAGAAAGTCCTAGGTCCAAGCCTCGGGAACACACACACACACACACACACACACACGCTCACACACACAGGAATACACATGAATAGATAGACTTTTTATTTTCCTTAGTTTCAAAGTTTAACCTTAAGACCAGTGTTCTCCTTTCATAGAATTGTGAAACTTTTACTTTATGTAGTGGGCACAAGAGGTTGCCTACTCCCCAGCTGTTACCCCTTCATCCCTAGTTTTGAGACTTGGGTTTTATTTGGGCAGCCATGAGTCTGCCCTGGAAGTAAATTTGGGGGGTGGGAGAGGAGTATCGGGACTCAAACTCAGAACCTTACACTTGCCAGGCAGCACTGTGCCACCAAGCTACATCCCCAACCCCTTGACGTGAATCATAATTAGTCTGATTAACTGCCACAAACCAACTGTGTGCCCAGTAGCAGGTATTTAGTAGCCAATTCTAGCTAATGAGAGAGACATAAGGGGAGAGCAAGGGCTTCCAGGAAAGTGGTCCTTTCTGATAAAAGAGTATTCCACAGAACAGATTGTCCATACATCTACCCTTTCCTGTAGCCTCAGCCCCACCACAGTCAGATAAGGTGCTCTGAGTTACTACAGGGGGGAGGGGGGGAGCAGAGGTCAGAGTGACATGTGGGAGATGAGGAGGTGAACCAACCTTGGAACCAGTACCCTCCAATCTTACTACCTGAGAGGAGACATCTTTATTAAGACATCTATTGCAGCGTACCTTATTACTTGCAGCTAACAGTAATTCTTTTTTTCTTTTCTTTTTTTTTTTTTTTTTTTTTGGTCTACAGGGAATAGAACCCGGGCTCTCACACATGCTAGGCAAGTGCTGTATCACTGAGCTACTCCCAGCTATCTTAATTAATTTAAGGGGGAATTCATTTTTGTGATTTCCTGATAGCATTTTATCACAGCCTATATGTAGATCTTTTAAAGTATTTCTACAGCCTCGAAGTGTAATTTTTTTCAGAGAAAAAAATGCCTTTTGTCATAGAATTCTGAGGACTTTCACTGTATGTGTGAGGTGAATCTGAATTTTTAAAGAGCTTCATTTGGAATGTGGCAGTATCTTCAGCTCGCATTCCATTTGCCCTGGTGATACGCCCAGCCAGCCTCAGGAGCTGCTGATTGCTTCTCTTCTCTTCTCTTCTCTCTAGGAGACTTGTGCCACTTGGCCCATTCGAGCTAGTTTGTCTGGTTGAGTTGGATGTTTAGGTAGAAGGTGAAACAACAAAAAGTTGCACACACACCCTCTATGTCTTTGCACCCTTTTGAGATATTTTCATTGATTTCAGTTTCTCTCATATATATATTGAACCCAGAGCCTTCACACTGAATTACATCTCCATTCCCAGATTCCCCCCACCCCAACTTTATTATTTATTTTGAGACAGGATCTTGCTAAATCATGAAATTCACCAGTCTGGACTCCAAGCTGCAATCCTCCTGCCTCAGCCACCCAGGGTGCTGGGATTATAGATGTATGCTACCTCACCTGGCTCAAACTTTTAAATGTTAAATCTCCTTTCAGAGGAGAAGGTGGTGAGTAAACTCAAATGGTGAAAAAGTCTGGTGTATAATTAAATGGCACTGAGCCAGGCATGGCAGACACACCTATAATCCTAGCATTCAAGAGACTGAAGCAGGAGGGTCACTGTGAGTTTGAGGCTAACGTGGGCTACATAGTGATTTCAAGGCCAGCCTGAGCTGCATATGAGACCTGTCTCACCAAAGCAGGATGGAGGGGCTGGGAAAATAGCTCAGCAGCACAAGTGCCTGTGTGGCAAACACAAGGTCCTGAGTTCTATGCCTGATACCAAAAGAACAAAAACAAAACAAAAAACAAGATGGCGACTGCCAGACCTGACTGCAGGCACTGGGCAAAACCAGGGCAATGGCTTGGGGATGGCCTAGGAAGACATTGCTAGAAACTTGGGGTATTAGGTGCAAGACTCCCCTTGCTCACCCTCTTTAATACCGCAGCCTGTCCCCCTGTGCCACCCCATATTTGATTGTGCCCCACTTTCCTTTACTCAGGTTTCTTAATCTTTTTCAGTCTGTAGACTTCATTAGCTATCTGGTGATGCCTAAGGACCGCTTCTCTGGATAAAGTTAGCTTGCTTTTGTTTCAATACAGGGCATCAAACCTAGAGCCTAGGCCATGCTAGGCAAGCACTCTATGGCTGAACTAGCACTTAGTCCCCAAAAAATGTTTCTAAATGTATTAAATAAAAAGCAGAAGAAGAATCTATATTGAGATACAGATACAATGTTTACTGATACATTAAGCAATAAGGCTTACCCACAGGTCCGATCGCTACAAAGTAGCGATGACGAGGATAACCATGAGCAGTTCAAGATATCTGCAACAGTTGTCTTTAAGATACAAAGTATCTGTGACTTCAATTGGTAACAAAGCCACAAGTATTGCTATTACCCCAGAGGCTGACTGCTCACAATGATTTGAAGATTAAGATTAATGAAGATACAGAACCCTACATCCAGCTTCACATATGACCTGAATTCTACTCGTGAGCAACCCCTTATGGGTCTCAGATTCTCAGATAAGAGTCGCTGCTCTTATCCCATTTTTCTATTTTGTGTAGCATTTGTCTTCTAGCATCATATATTTACTTCTTTTTAAAATTCTTTTTTAGTGTCTTGTTTTTTTGTGTTAAGACTGTAAATTCCATGAAGTCTTTGCCTGGTTTGCTGATGTGTAGAATAATGCATGACACTCAGAAGAGGTTCAGTAAATACTGCTATGTGCTGGGTGTAGTGGTGCATGCCCATAATCCCAGCACTTGGGAAGCTGAGGCAGGAGAATTACAAGTTCAAGGCTACCTTTGGCAACATAGTGAGTTCAAGGCCAGTTTGGACTACATAGCAAGATGCTGTCTCAAAACAAAATCAAAACACAAACAAACAAATAAGAAACCATAAGACTATGGCCAGATGTGCCAGCATCAAGGAGCAGACAAAAGGCAATGCATTCTCCTGTTTTCACTTCTGTCATTCAAAGAAATTCATTTGACAAGTGTTTACTGAAAATACAACTGTGACAGGACAGACCCAGACTTTAGGCACCTACGGCACATCACCCCAGTGTCTAACAGTGTGACCTTGGAGATTTGTCCAGTCCAGACTCAGTGTCTGCCTCTGCATCACACCTGCCAGCTGACCATGGGCAGGTTCTGTAACCTCTGCAATTTATGTCGATCTACACCATTTGTCCATTCATTAGTCACTGGAGGACTCACGGTGTGCTCGGTACTGCGCCCCATACTTGTGGTCTCCTGGGAAAAGACAGGAACAAAAACACAATGGCTATATTGTGTGATGAACGCTCACATGGGCCAAGAACAAGGTGCAGTAGGAAGGAGACTGTTGAATCGTGAGCCACACAAAGTTCATTCTCAGCATTCTGCTGTTTCAAGTAGGTATGGTGTTGTACTCCTATATGTCCAGCACTCTGGGAGGCTGAGGCAGGAGGGCTGCAAATGTGAGCCCACCCTGTGCAGTTTGTTGACTTACCAAGATCCTATCTCAAAATGAAAAACAAACAAAATAGAAAAAACAGGATGTAGCTCCATCTAAGATGCAGTGGAGGATGTAGTGAAGGACGTTATCATCAACAGTAACAACAGAACATTCCATCAGCACCCAAGGAATTGCTCATAAATTCTAAGAGATTTTGCATTTCTGGGATGACACTAAGGGGAAGCTATATACATAGTACATGGTGAAAATGATGAAATCTCCCTTTATTCCACCCCTTCACAACACAGGGCTTCACTGTGTGGACTGGCTTAAGCTTTCCCCTTCCTTTCCTGGTGCAGGAAGTGGGCAGGGCAGCAATGTCTGGGCTATGAGTCCATGGCTGTCCCTTGCAGACAGTGGAGAAAAGAGGCCTGTGGCCGCCCTCCCACTGCTAGTGCTGCCAGACACCCATGCAAGCAGGAGGGACTGTCCTGAGCAAGTGGTGGGAACACTGCTCTGTGCCTGGAGGGAGAGGAGGAGCCAGTGCTCCTGGCCATGTGATGGTCTGAGAAAGAGAACGAGGCACGTGGCGCTTACTTGTGGAAACCCACATGCTGGGCACAAAGGATGGCAGGGGTAATGGCAGGAAAAAGAGAGGAGGAGGAGCCAGAGAGGTGAGCTGTGGCCTGCCAGGCTGGGACTCCTATACTTCATCGAAGAATCAGGATTTTCCCAGAGCAGTGGGGAGTTAAGCAGTGAGCAGAGCTGAAACCTCTCTAAGCTGCAAGCTAAACAGAGGTCTCCTCCTTCAAGTTGTATGTGTCAGGTACTGTGTCTCAGGGAGGAGAAAGTAACAATGCTATGTAAGTGGTCAATGTGTTGGTTTGCTTAGGGAATGACAAGAATAAAGTCTACATGTATTCTACACAGATGCAGTTTAAAAGACATGTGTCTTTGACCTACATTTGTTTGAATCCTTGTGGGGGAACCCATACACAACAGAAAACTGACTGTAAGTATGAGCACATATGTGCATACATGCAAAGACATATCTCCCCACATCACACAAGCCCACCTGATGGCTCTAGAGCCCAAGGGCCCAGATACAAAAACTGTATCCCCTCCAAGGAAGCCATCCTGCCTCCCAATCCTCTTGCACCTTGGAGCCAGAATGATGTAGAGAAGGGTGTAGAATGCTGAACTCTGTGGCCCTGGTCACACAGCAGACAGGGAGAGACTGGACCATCGTGAACAGAACAGGATCAGACAATTAGATTGGGCCCAGACTTCGGAGGCTGTTAGTGCCACCCAGAGGTAGCCAAATTGATTTTTGTAGGTAGCAAAAGAAACTGAATAGTTTTGAGTGGGATTCCAAGTCGATAGAGACTCAAGACTGGAAAGAAAGGCCCTGGAAGACAGAAACTCACCTTGTATGATTCCCACCTCATAAATCATCAAATCAGAGTGATCCCTTTCTCCAGTTCTGCAACTGTGACACCAATTTGCTGAGCAAGGGTCCTTGGTGTGATACTGTCATTCTCACCTGACTTAGCGCCAGAAACATATATATATGAGAGAGAGAGAGAGACAGAGAGACAGAGACAGAGACCTCCCCCCTCCACCCCCACCTTTCTTTGGAACTAGGCTAGAACCCAAGGGCTTCCCACTGAACTACATCTCCAGCCAGCCCTTTCTAAAAGTTGCTATTTTGAGAAAATGCCTTGATAAGTCACTAAGTTGCCCGAACTGTACTCAAACTTGTGATCCTCCTGCTGCAGACTTTCAGAGAAGTGGGATTACAGACGTGCATCACTATTCTTTTTAAAAAAATACATATAATTTGTGAAATTATGGAAAATGTCTATACTTACAATACATTTATTTATTAGTGAAATGACTGACTAGAGTTTGATGTTTTTATTGTAATTTTAATTGTTATTTATTATTTGGGTTTTTAGACAGGGTTTCATACGAAGTCCAGGCTGACTTCAAACTTGCAATCTTGCTGCTCCAGTCTCCTGAGTGCAGGGATTGCTGGTGCGGGCCACCACCTGCCTTGATGGTCTTTTTAGTATGGCCTCAAGTCACTGTAAATGTATTTTCTTCCTAGAGTATTTTTAGGTCTGCAGTTGTAACTGGGGGTGTCTGCATAGTTCTAGGTCAAGTCCTCCATCAACCCAGACTGAGCCCTAACCAGCTGTGCAATCCAAGCCTACATAATTAGCCCATGGGTAAAATGCCAAAGCAATCAGTTCTGTGTCCCTTTATTTCCTCCTCACTGTGCAATGTACATATCTCTCTGTGACAGTGTCCCTTTATCCCACAGAACTGTGACCAAGTGACAATTATTCTACCCCAAACGACTGCAACAAGACCTTAAACTTAACTACCTTGTTTGTCTCAGCTGTAAAGTTGCAAGAGCTTTTGTTTAAAGTGCACATGGAACATGGCGGCCTGTGCCTATATTAAAATGGCACTACGCTTGGAGACTGAGACAGGAAAATCTCCAATTCAAGCTCAGCCTGGGACACTTAGCAATTTAGTAAGAACCTGGAGTTATAGGTCAGTGTAAACACAGTGGCTTCAATCCCCGTACCACAAAACAAACAAATGCATGTATAGAGCATAGAGATCTTTTGGGTTTCATATTTCAATGAAACATTTTACTATCACAAGTATTATGATTTTTTTCAACTGGAGCTATCCAAGCCCTGATAGTTTCCATTAATTCCCTTCTCTCTCCCAACTATTCTCTATTCATCCTTTATTCTACCTTTAAAGCAGGAAAAAAGAAAATAATTATTTAGAAAGTCTCTACTCCTGTGAGAATAACAACCTACATAGTTTGAGAGATTAGTCAAGCACAATGTATAAAACAACAACAGAAACAGTTTCTTAAACTCTTGGACAAAAGAAATCAAGTTTGCCCTGTGATCAAACTAAATAAAATTTCAAAAGAATAAGTAAAAATGTAAATGTCAGACAATTTATTTTCTTGTTCCTGTGCTTTTGTTCTGATGGGTAAGTTAGGTAGCTAGACTCGCAATTAAATTTGTATGAATTAATGGATACTAAGAAGTTGCTTGACAAGCAGCTGCACAATCGACTGATATACATCCTGAATATTGAAATCTGGGTATACATAAAACAACAGAAACAGTGGGTATAGTGGCACATGCCTGTACTCCCAGCACAGGGTAGGCTGACGCAGGAGGATTGCCACAAATTCAAGGCCAGCCTGGGCTATACAGTGAATCAAGACCAGTCTGGACTACAGAACAAGATCCTGTCTCAAAAAAAACAAACAGTTGTTAACAAACAGTTAAACAACACAGCTGCAGTAACAGATAAATGCTAAAGATGACCTAGCATTATGAAAATTCTTTATGCTCACTGCGGCTCAGCCTGGTGTATAGCAGGAGATTCAGGAACCCAACCAAGCCTCGCCCACCTGGAAATGGGAGCTCCAGAGTAATTCCACCTGCTGGATGGGAGGAGGAAGCTGGGGGTCTCCCTCAGCGATTTCCATGGGCCAGGCTGAGGAGTGGCATCCTATCTTCTGTCCACACTCTGTGGCCAGCACTCAGTGATATGGGTAACCTAACCACAAAGCAGACTGGGGAATGATTAAATAGGATGCAGCTCCTAAAAATAATAAGCTGGACTTACGCACATTGTCAAGAGGAAACATCCAAGATGTAATTAAGTACATTTCAGAGTACAATGTGTTTGCATAATATTTATTTAAAAATGCAAAACTCTACTGCTGCTCTGTCTATCTTTGCATAATCCTGGTACAAGTCCCAGGAAGATGAAATACCCTGGGCGCTGCATCATATCTGCTACTACAGGGACCAAGGATGGAGATATCAGGAGAAATGTGAGGGTACTAACTTTTTCTTTGCACATCTTGGGGACTCCCCCCACCCCATTTCTAATAATGATTATGTACTTACTTTGGGGTTTTAAAAATGAAATGTGATTTTAAAATACCAAAACAAAGTATTTTATAATGACATACACACATATGTAAATAGGTTGAAGCCTTCATAAAATGAAAAAAAAATTTTGGGGGAGTACTAGGGATCAAACTCATGACCCTGCACTTGCCAGGCAAGTGCTTGTGCTGCTGAGCTAAATCCTCAACCAATAAAATGAAAGTTTAAAAGGAAGTGGAGAGGAAGAATCTTCACTGTAATATTTGATTCTCTAGAAAGATACTTTCCAAAGTGGAGCAGGGCCTGTATGCCTCCCAGGGTATACTATACCCCAAACAGGGTACACAATGCCCTGCTCATTCAAGCTTAGCTTGTTATTGCCTCATTAGAAATTTAGTTACCAGTTTCATGCACGTCAGAAGTGCCTGCACCTAAATATTTGGATCCTAGACATATATGAGTACTCTCTCTCTTCTTACTACATTAATATTCTGATTTTAATGGAAAAAGCAAAGCTACTGTGTGTTTTGGTTGGAGTGAGTCAACTCCTCACACCCCAAATTATTCAATAGACTTAACCAATACTACCAATACTAGACCAATACTTAATCAATAGACTTAACTAATACTATGAACTGAATCCTGGATTTTCCAAAATCCAGCTTGTGTAAACAAGGTGTAGTGGTGCAAGCCTGTAATCCCAGCATGCAGAGGCTGAGGCAGGAGGATTGCTGTGAGTTTGAAGCCAGTCTGAGTTACATAGCAAGTTCAAGGCCAACCTGGACTATGTATTGAGACCCTATCTCAAAAAATAAGTTAAAAAGTTTTTCTACCCTCTTAGGGCTGGAAGGGCCACCTTGATCTGCTTGGCAGTTTGTTTTCTGGCCTGTGTCATTACCTACTTTCCAGTCTGTATTCTCCCTGCAGGTCTCAGAGATTAAAGACTCCGCCTTCAGAGTCAAATCTCCTTTAATATTTGGCCTGGCAACTGGGTATGGAATATTGGCAACAAACACACTCATGCAAGCAGGCACATAGTGATGAGCTTCAGGTGGTTATTCTGTGAAGCAACACAGGGCAAATTATTAGCAAGGCCCCTTCAGTTACCAGGAATCAGAAGTTTCTTCTGTTTTGATAGTCATGGGTGCTTGAGTTTGCTTTTAGTCAGGGCTTTGGCTCTTAAGTCAATTCTGCTGTGAAGGATAAATGAGGGAAGGCGGGGGGGGGGGGGCTTCCTTTCACCCTCTCCCCTGAAAGAGATTTCTTGGAAAAGGCCCTATTTAAGTTGCAAGCATTGTTTAGCATTATTTGAGGCCTAGATAAGAAAACATCAATAGGAAGCAAAGCAAAATGGTTCAGGAAAAGAGAATGATAGCAAGGCGGGGACATTATCTGACCCGCACAGAGGGACATGTGGGTTATTTGTCTGAAGCCTGCCTGACTCATGGTTAAACAGGCAGGTTGATCAGACCAGATCGCCAGTTTCTAGATACGCAATTGAATGATTATCTACTGTGTGAATGACTTGAACCAAAAATAGTAGAACAATAGTGTGAAACAGTCCTCCAGAAATTCAGTCATACAATTTTAAAGTGTTTATTGATTTCTGCTATTTATTCTGTGGCATTCAATGGTGAACACCTTTGTTTGGCAGTTTTGTAGTCAAAAGCAAGACAGAGACCCAAACAGAAACAAAATACATGCAGTATGTGATAGAGGCCAACGAAAGATTCTGACTATACATTCTGTTGACTTTTGGGGGAGGGCACGATCACATTCTGCTGAAATGGCCAAGGAAAGCGAACATTTAGAGCCAGATACTCAGGGACAGATTTGATTTAGAAAAGCAGAGAGAAAAGGGAAGCTATCTGCCCCAAGATGGGCTCACATAATACAGGGACATTTGCATAGTGCGTCACAGTTTGCAGGGCTTCCTGCCTACACACGGAAGGGAAAAAAGAGCAAGGTTTTTCAGAGCCGAGTGGCGGGACCAATCTGACCAATCTGACAGAGCAGAAAGCAATCATTCCTCCTTTCCCCCTCACTTCTATCTTTTCTTCTTGACCAAGGTTCACGGTTTCATATTGACTTGCTAATCCAAAGCACTTTTACAGGGGGCTTTCTCTACAAAGAATAGCCTAAGAGAGCTGAGGGACTATTTCTGAAAGAAAATTGTCTTACTGAATGGCTGTGTGTGTGCACATGTGTGTGCATGCATGCATACACGAGTGTGTGTGCACACAAGCAATGCACACATGTCCACTGACGGTTGGCATGAGAGATTTTCTAATTGGGATGAAAAACACATTTTGTGGCTTGTGATCTCAAATTTAATCCCTCCTGGATTTGAAGGGCTCCTTTTCTACCCGGCCTTCCTTCTCATCCCTTCTCTGCTCAAATCTGTTCTTATTCCCTGTTTCGTGGCCCTTTAGCTTTCACGTTTCTCCTGCCCTCTGGGCTCTTCTGTCTGCCTGGAAGTTGCCCTAGCTTTCATTCCCAGGCCAAGCCCCACTCCTTCAGGAGCTCTTCTGCTGGGAAGGCACCTAAAGGTCGTCTGCATCTCTCTCCACTACTCCAGGGCTTCTTAATTCTTGGAGGGAGGTTGTAACATGGAGAATGTGATGAATCCCCTGGAGTCTTGGACATATACAGACAGACACACACACACACATGCAAATATGTGTCTAATTTCAAGGGACTCATGTCCCTCTGCAAACATTACTTTTCTAGATCACAGTTGCTTACTACAAGCCATACACTTCAAGGTTTTAAAATATATTTTGATATTATTCTGTGTAATGTGTTCTTCCTAACTGGACTAACCATAAAGGTAAAGTGGTTTTAGACACTTCTGGTAACCTTTATGGAACTTGGTACAGGGCGGATCACATAGGAGTATTTAATATTAAAAAAGGCTCAATAAGCAAATGAGGGTACACACATACAATGGAGCATCTTCAGTGATAAAAATAAATGAGATACCAGGTCAAAGAAGACAGGAGGAGAACTTAAATGCATACTAAGGGAAAGAGCCAATCTGAGCAGGCAACACACTACAGGGTTCCAATTATGACACTGCAAAGGGGCATGACTATGAGATCAGAGAGGATCTTGGTCACTGGGGCCGGGGGTGTGGGATGTGAAGAGGTGGAGGCAGTGAAACTCTTGTCTACGCATTGTAATGACTCTATAGCATCCAGTTTTCAAAACTCACAAGGATGGAACTAAATGTGAACCACAAACATTACTCAAAATAGTATTTCAGCATTGGTTCAGTTATAAAAATGCACCACACTGATGCAAGATGTTAATGAAAAATGGAATGGGGATGGTACATGTCTGTAATCCCAGCACTTGGGAGGCTGAGGCAGGAGGATCACTATAAACTCAAGGCCAGCTTAAACTACATAGCAATACCGTCTCTCAAAAAAAAAGTCTTTTTAACTTAAAAATAAAGATTTTGGGCCAGGGATTTAGCTCAGAGGCACAGGTACCTGCCTGGCAAGTGCAAGGTTGTGAGTTTGATCCCCAGTACCAAAAATAAATAAATAAAACAAAGATTTTGACCAAAGTCTCTACTGGGATAACGAATGCACAAGTGTCTTAATGTAACATGGGTAGTTTAGCTTTTTAAAGTCATACACACTGTTGTCAAACTTGCTACTTGGCTTCATATCAGCACAATCCAGGATTTTACGGTAAATTACCTGAATGACTAAGATATATTCTCATCCTATAGACTTTGTCCAATCCCGATGCCAAAGAAAAATAGCATTTAATGTACAAATTTCAATTTGAAAGAAATCCATTAAAATATCCTTAGTGAGTCTTACCATGAGTGGAAAGAAGGTCTGTACAGTCATGTTGCCTTTTGAAACAGTTCTTTCTTCTTGGTCTGTTTTTATGTTCTTAACAGAAGCTTGGTGGAAAAGCCATATCTACCTAGAATGAAATGAACATTTGGAGCCCCAAAAAACCAGCTGAGTGAATAATGGCACCAGGTTCATCATCCTGTTTTCAACTTTGAAAGATCATAATTAGGATGACTGATCAGGAAGCGTCTTCCCTGGGGTTACAGCTGAATTGATTACAGTCAGTCCTGATATCCAGAGGTTTCACATCTGCAGATCCAGCCAATAGAGGATCCAAAACATTCCTGAAGATTGCATCTGTAGGGTGGGGGATATAGCTTAGTGGCACAGCGCCTGCCTGGCAAGCATGAAGCCGTGAATTCATTCCCTGGTACTAAAAAAAAAAAAAGATTACATCTGTACCAAGCAGTACATTGTCGTTATCCCCTAAACATTACATGTACTAACTGATGGTATACAATGACACAGAATTAGGTGTTGTAACAATCTAGAGATGAAAATGTGTGCAGGTTCTGTTGGAACTCTACCCTATTTTATACAAGGGACTTGAGCATCTGCAGATATGGGTACCTGCGGAGAGCCCAGAACCAACCCCTCCAGCATACTGAAGAAAGCAGATTCTGAGGTCAGGCGGGGATTTGGCCATAGTATTAACCACTGCGACGACTGACCCTCCTCCTCATTGATCCTCAGGGGGTACCATCTTGTTCATTTATCAGGATGACTGGATTAAGCAGGAGTGGTGGTGCACAGACTGAGAGGCTGAGGCAGGAGGATACCAAGTTCAAGCCCTGATTAGATAATTTAGTGATTTAATAAGACCTTATCTTAAAAAAAAAAAAAGGCAGTGGTAATGGCTGGGGATGTATGAATCATGTGTATTCAATCCCCAATGATGCCAAAAAATTTTAAAAATTAAAAGATTCATTTAAAATTAATTTTAAAAATTAAAAAAATTCAAAGTCTATTATCTTGTCCATCTTAACAAATCAACCCACCTGATTGTAAGAAAGCACTTCATTACCAGATGGAGAAAAGGAAAGCTTTTTTCCTTCTGCTCTGCTAACCTCTCCTCTTCCAAGCAAGCAACTCTCACCAGCTCCTGGCTGTCCTGCAAATTCTAGATTTGGAGAGAAAGGGGGTAGATGGAGGGATCAAGCACAGGGTTCATAAACAAAGGCTTTCCGTGGCGGACACTGCTGGGCACCCTGAAGTGTCTACTCACAGGTGCATAGACGATGTTCAAGCCCCTCAAAGGGGCCACGCTGGTCTTGCCGTGCTGCCCTGGCCCCAGCCACTGATCTGGTCACAGGAAGCATTCATTTGCTTCTCTGCTCTACCATCTTAAATAATTACCAAAGACTGTTTATCACATCATGCACAGGCACTTGCCCAGGCTCTCCTCAGAGCGCTCAGGCCATGCATTCCAAGGGCTTAGCCCAGGGGTCACCATTGTGTACACACAATAAATCTTAGTTTGTCAAGAATCTGGGTAGTCACAAAGCTCAGATGGCACAGTTTTCCTGTTTTGGTTTGGTTGTTTTAGCCAACAGAAGTCAGGGAGGGCAGTCACTGCTGGGACAATGAATGAGACGCAAGAATGTCTGAGCTCCAGAGGGGAGAAGACGGGTGAAGCCCAGCAACGGAGAAGCAAAGCAACCAGTCAAAGGGGAAGGAGAGAAGTCGGTGAGGCAGGAAGAGCAAAAGGCACGGAAGGAGGAGAAATGGAAGTTGGGGTGGTGGGGGTGAAGAAGGGGGAGACGGAGGAGGGAGCCCTGGAGTGGGCAGCACCAGGTCGCACAGAGGAACCAGGTCTTTTGTGCCTGGAGCCACGCACTCAGCCACCTACCATATGGCTTCTGAGGTGCGGGAGGGAAGCAGAAGCGGCACACAAAATGCCAGTCAGTGCCACTGACATTGAACCATCGTAATCTTTGGAGGCTCGGAGAAGGCTGAAAATATAAACCTCCCAGGCATGAAGGAGAGCAGTGTCTCTCTGTGTATTTCATAGATCAAAGCTCCGAGAGTGTGTTTGTTCGGAAGCCTCAGTGGCTCTGTTTTACTTCTTTTTTTGGGGGGGGGTACCGGGGATCGAACTTACAACTTCATGCTTGCCAGGCAATTGCTTATGCTGCTTATGTTTTTATTTCTTATTTTATTTTTTGGTACTGGGGATTGAACTCACAGCCTAGAGCTTGCCAGGCAGGTGCTTATGCCACTGAGCTAAATCCCCAGCCCTTGTGGTTCTGTTTTAGATAAAGTTGTTTTGTGCAAAAAGTAGTAGCTCATGTTCCTGATGGTGACCCTGAAGCCTGACAAAAACCTGAAGGAAACTTCTGAATGTTTGAGTTTTCAGAGAGAGGTTAGTTGTGTAGAGTGTGGTTTGAAAGAGAATGCAGGTTAAGTGTTGAGTGTTAACTGTATTCTAATTTTTTTGTAGATTGATTTTTTTAAAAAAATTATTAGTACATAATGATTACAATCATAATGACTATGTAATTTTTTCCCATTTACCATGGGGACCTGGTACCTGTATATAACACATCTTAATTCTTTTTATTTCCCTCATTTACTGAGCTTACTCTCAACTCTTCCTATGTCAGCCAGTCTGCATGCCATGCAACAAGTTCCTTGACGCTGCCTCTGCCTGGCTGCAGACCAAGGGTCTCCTGGCCATCCACAGGGTCTCCTGGTTCCCAGTGGCAGCCAAGCTGGCTCAGCCCACACAGCTCATCAAGCCCTATCTACTGAGTTCAGTCAGCCTCCTAATCACATTTCCTTCCCCAACAGGGAGCTACCCATTCCAGGTTCCTAGCCAGAAACTTGCCTATCAGGTTCTGTTCCCCTCACTCTAAACAACCTACTAGCAAGTCCTGCAGAATTTTCTCAGATCATTAACCAGTGTACATCCTTCATCTCCAAGGTCACCACCCTCGTTTGACCAACCCCATCCCTCCCCGAGAGACAGTAAGCCCTGCTCCAACCTCTTCCTGCCCTCCCCATCTGCTCTGCACCAGGTGTTCCCACAGGCATCTGGGTGCTGGAATTGTGTGTGTGCACCTCCATGCCTAGACCCGCCTCTCCTAAATTTTTAATCTTTTCTCATTGATGGTTTAAACCTCCTTTCATGTTTAAAAGCCCTGTTTGACTGAATTCAGTCTTTCTTCTTCTTATTACAACTCGGGGTAGGAATAATTTATACCTCCCTGGATTTTATCACTCTCATTTATTTTTCCTCAACTTCTTCCCATCTCAGAAAGTTTATTCTCAGAAAGTTTTAGGAAGTTTCAAAACTAAGCCTTCCTCCTCCTGCTTCTTGAAGCACTCTCCTCTCTGTCTGTTATGCTCCCTCATATTTGTAACTCCTGCTCTTCCTCCCCCAACACTTTCTCATCCATCTGTGCCTTGTTTGCACCCTTTGCTCCTCAGCCTGCTGTTTTCACTCTGGATGTCCTCCTTGGTGGCCACGCACACTCCGACCTTTCAGTGCTATCCTTACGCCTGGTGTCTGGTCCAAGGCCCAGCCCAGATGTCTTGGAGGCTGCCTTTTAATAGCCAATTGTCCACTGCACATTTCCAACCAAAGGTCTCCCAGGTGGGAAGCCACCAGAGCTGCCTTTTCTCGGGGATATGTCGCGTGCATGGTGGATCTTTTAACTCTAGTTAAACAATCCTTCCTGCTTTCATGAAGATGATCACATCTCTCCGAAAGCCCTTTGAAGCTTCCAGGCCAGTGTCCTGACAGGATCTCTAAGATCCTGTCATTGAGAACATTCTCTCTTGATCTCATCTGTCCCTGTCCCTTGCTGCATTTGGTTCCCAGCTTTCTGCACAGTTTAAGTTTCCCTGTCTCCGTCCTGCATGGCCTTGCCCCATGGCAAATGGTTTTCTGTGGTTGGGTGGGTTATCCCTGCTTGTGGCATTTGCTGACTTCTGTGGCATAAATCCTCCTATTGATCAATCTCAAAGTCCTAGCATGAGCCTGGTGAATAGCAGTTGGAAGAGATGGGCAGTATCACCCTTAGACAGAATTTCTATCGTGCAGAGCTAATAGACCTTAAAAACCCTTCAAGGAAAAAGAAAAAAGAAAGCTTTAAAGGAAGAAACAATGGTAAACTGGAGTAAAATAGTTAGGAAGTTATACATTTGTACTATTTACTATATTTATTTTTAACATAATTTATTTAATTGCTCACATAGATTTTAATTTTTAACAATGGCCATGTTTAACAATCAGCAGGCAGGATGCCTGAACACTTAGCAATCAGTACCCTAGAGCTCGTCCCAGGCAGCTCCTGTGCAGGCTCACCCTCTGCCAGAGATCCCCATCCCCACTGACGTCAGTCAGTGCTTATGCTTCCCTACCGAGTAAGGTTACATTTTGTGACAAGAAGTGACAAGTGATGATTGGGGTGTATTTCACCCGATCTTACTCATGCCAGCTTGGCTCATCTCACCTGGGAATGTGCCACCTTCCCACTCCAGCTTACATACTTCCCACCACATCACAGGATCTGCTTTGGATCCGTGTTCCACCCATTCTCCAGGCTTTCTGTGCCTCATTCATCTCTGTAATCCCAGCAGCAGGCTGGCCACATACATAGTGGTGCTTAGTGAATTGTTATGTAAAGAGCTGAAGATTCCTTTCCTCCCCTATCTGTATTCCTAATCATTCTGGGAAGCACTGTTGGCTGCGTGATCGAACAGCACAAGTGCCAGCCCTCAGTGAAAACAACAAAATATCTGTTGACTGGATGAACTGACCAAGTGACCAGAATGTCTGTGAACAGGAATAGTTTACTCCTCTCGATTTTGCGGGGAGAAGGGGTGTGTTATCCCATCTGGTCCCCTGACATGAGATCTCCATGTATATGGCTGCTATGGCTCATGCTGGGTCTATAGAATGCCAATTCACCCCTTGTGGGGGAAGTAAATATGTTAGGGTTCTGCAGGGAGACAAGAGTCCACATGGTGGATGGAAAGCTAGATGGACAGATAGATGAGAAGAGATTAATTAAGGGAATTGACTCATGCAATTATGAAGGCTAAGATGTCCCAAAACATACTACCTGAAACCTGAGTCCCAAGAGTGATGGGAAGGTGGGTAGGTTTAAGTCTGAAAGCCTCAGACCACAGAAGCCAAAGGCATAACTCTCAGCAAAGACGAAAGGCCTGAGAAATGGGGCAAGGGGTGTGTCATGGTAGATTTAGTACAAGTCATGGAGGCCAGAGAGCTTGGAGTTCTGATGTCCTAGGGCTGAAGAACAGATATCCTAGCTTTGGGAGTGAGAACAAGCTCATTTATCTTTTTTAAATTTTATTTTATTTTTTATCGGTACCAGGGATCGAACTCATGACCGCCCACTTGCAAGACAGGCACTTAAGCCACTGAGCTAAATCCCCAGCCCCAAACAAGCTTATTTGTCTTCCCTCTGCCTTTTTGTTCTGTTCAGGTCCCCAAACAATTGACTAGTGCTGGCCTATACTGGGGGCGACCTTCCCCATCTGTCTGTCAACTCCTATGCCAATCTCCTCAGAAAGCATTGCACAGACACACTCAGAAATAATGCTTTACCACTTCTCTAAGGATGTTACGGCTTGTGTCTCGATGTCCCTCCCCAAGCCTCACGCACTCGTAGATGGAGCTTTTTGCAGGTGACTGGGTCAAGGGTGCATGGTATTAGATTAAAGGTGATTTTAGAGTTGAGGATTAGCCATGGATTGGCTTAGCATAGCTCTGGCAGTGAATAATGGGAAAGTGCAACCTGAGTGTGGGTGGCACCACCCAGTAGGCTTCTGACCTGGCTGGGATGAAACAGAAAGGCAGGTCACTGCTGCTGCCTGTCTGCTAGCCCCGCTGGGGACTGTTTCTCCTCTACCATGATGCTATGCCTTGGAGGCAGCCGCCCATGGACTGAAGTCTCTACAAACTGTGAGCTAATATGAAACTTTCCTTCATTAACTTGTGGGTATTGGGGATTGTGTCCCAGCAATGAAAAAGTAATTAAGACAGAATCCCTAATCCAGTCAAGTTGACACCTAAAATGAACCTTTCCAGGGCTCATTCGTGGCGGTTATACACTGATGCTCTACAGCTCTCTGAGCCCTGACCTAGTCTCT